CCCCTCAATTTCAGCTATAATTTCAATCATCTTTTTGTAAAATCTTTCAGTATCGACTTTCCACTCGAAAACTCGATCAGATTTGTAAATGAAAGTTGTTTCATTTTGAGTGGAAATGTTGACAAAACGACGAAAATCCGAAGCCCAATCAATTGCTTTATTATCACTGATGAAAACGAGTTCAATCGAATTGGGGATTTTCGAGATAAAATTCGAGAAATAATAAATCGAGTCCTTTGAGCATTTCCATGTCAAGACACGACATTCCATTCTTGATTCTAAAATTCGAAACAGAATTTGAATTGAACCAACAAAGGAGGTGAAATTCGTCGAGATAAAGTGCATTGAATTGGAAGATGGATGGAATTTCAGATTCACTTCGTAATTGATGTACGATTCTGGGTCGCCTTCGCAAAATTCTTTCGTGAAAACTCTGTTAATGGAAAAATGCATTATTTGGGCTCGTTTCGGTAAAAAATTACTTTTGTGGATCCATTGGCGAATTTCTTTGTTGGCTTTGGTCAGTGGTGGTCTGAATTCTAGGTGATTGTAGACTTCTTTGCGAAGTTCAGTGGGTAAAGATGGAAGGGAGAATTTGAAAAGCATTATTTTAGTGATTTTTAAAAAAAGAATTGAATGAATGGGCCAAGAGGTGTAAAAAAAGCGTAAAATGAAATGAACTGGTTGAGTTTTTGCTCATGGCATTTCAACAATTGAATGCAATGGGCAATGGTAGTACTTCGTAGTTGATTCTGCATTGATAAGGTTTAATTCACGGTACTCTCACCAAGAATTGCTTTAAACGCTAACGTCGATGAGCTGAGATATTTGTGAGCTTTGTAAATATGGATAAAACTTGATTCTTGATGGGTTTCTTCTACATTTTCCGGCAAAACAATTTGTAAACTTGAACGGAATCATTTAAAATTGTCAAAATCTGTTTATTGCAAAGCTATCAGAGCGTCTTGGCACTGGAAATCACCAAAAAAAACGGTTTTAAAAACCAGTGACAGCACAATGTTCTATTCAGTTCGTAAGAGTTGTCTCCGCCGAGGACGTGCGTCATTTATATATCTGAAAAACTATTCCCATTTAAACAAATCAAAGTAATTTGCTATTTTGGTTAACTTTTATGCTTAAACCCAACCTTAATTAGCCTCTGAACACAGCCGGAATCCTCGAGATATACCCCAAGTCACTGCTAGATTTAAAGGGTTTTGGTAAGCTCAAAGAGGTAGATAAAAGTTAAAACTTTGTGTGGTAGCTTTGCAATAAACAGATTTTGACAATTTTAATGATTCCGTTCAAGTTTACAAATTGTTTTGCCGGAAAATGTAGAAGAAACCCATCAAGAATCAAGTTTTATCCATATTTACAAAGCTCACAAATATCTCAGCTCATCGATGTTAGCGTAATTGTGTAATTGTTTCGAAAAGCTATCCAGTTTTTCGCAATCCTTTACTTTTTCCTAATTTCGAAAGATGTAAAAGAAAAGAAAATTTGCTTGCGATTTTCGACTTTCTCATTGGCTTACGAGAATGAAAATGACAGATAAAAGTAAGAAACGAGACAACTTCTTCATTTTATTCAAGTTAAAATTTCGTTTCGGAATCATTTTTTCAAGAATACAAAGAACCCTCATTTGTCACCTCATCTCATTTCATTTCTTTTCATTTCTCTTACATGAATTCCTCGCATTACCCGAACCAATACAAAAAGCCTTTCTTTACAAAAAGGAATAGAAAAGCCTGTTAAATTTACACATTTAGCTTGTCATAAAGTATCGAATATTGGGCTTTTCGAGGGAAATTTTCTTGAAATCACACTCTTTTCACCGTACCCCTTCCCCCCTTTCTCTGTGTTTCTTTTCCACTCAAAACCACAAATCCGCGCGTAATTATCTTTTTAAATTGCCCTTCATTTGTTATTCAAAACGCATTTTCTCCAATTTTCTATCGTGATGGCACCAAGAAGTCGAACTGGTCGTAACACGGAAGATCTTTCCACCAAAGCATCCGTTCCACTCCCAGACAATTCGGACTCTGATTTCGAAGAAGAGTCTAAGAAATCTCGTGCTCCAAAGAGACAAACCGCTTGCAAAAGCACTGGACCATTACCAAAAAGGGGAAACGTTCGACGTCAAACGGCTTTGAAGAGCATTGTTGCTATGCCGGATGAGTCCGAATCCGAACAATCCAATGTTTCTGAGTATTCAGATGATGAGCCGGAAGAGCCAAAGAAATCCGCTGCAAAGAAAGGAGCAAAGAAAGCCAACAATGCTTCAAAGAAGCCTCAGACAGCCACCAAGACAGTGACTGCTCTTCCCCAGTGCTCATACCACCAAAAAAGCCGTTGATCTTCCTGAGAGTACAGATTCCGATGAGTGATTCATATTTTCCAATTTCCTTTATTCTCAATACATTCCTAATCTCGTCTCACCGCAAAAAAACCCGGTCAGTTTCAGAAAAATTCACTAAATCTCTTGAAAATTCAATCCATAGCCAACAGGAACAAGATCTTTTAACATTTAAAATCTATTTTTAATTCAAAAATCACTATGAGATTTCTTTTTAAAAGCATCTTGCATAGAAAAATCTATTCAAAATATTTTTTTCAAGAACAAGTTTGAAAATTTTAGTTGTCTTTTCGATGAAAGTCACATTTCTGGGGTTTTTTTCCTTGATCGATCATCAACACGTTCAAAAATCGTCACAATGGAGCAGGTTTTCAAATGTGATTTCATTTTTATCGTTCTATTAATTGATCATTTTCTCTCAATAGCACCCAGTTTTTATGACCTCAATCTATAGCTTTAATCTTTTTGTTACTGTGATTTTTATTGTTCTTAACTTAAAAGTCTATCAACAAGTCTATCTTGTTAGTACAACAACAACAAACACTTGTTAGTACAATAACAACAAACACTTGTTAGTACAACAACAACAAACACTTCTTAGTACAACAACAAACACTTGTTAGTACAATAACAACAAACACTTGTTAGTACAACAACAACAAACACTTATTAGTACAACAACAAACAACAACAACAACAACTAAAAGTCTATCAACAAAAGAAAACCTTAAAATGTATGAAAAGAGAAAAATTCAATCTTTCAAGTTCGAGCTCTGGCTCTGTTTCAAGTTCCATTCGTTAGCAGAACGTAAAATTGACTCAAATTTCTTTGTCATTCCTTGAAACGTCTATCATTTTGTGTTATTCAAATAAAAATCTACGATATTTTTCCTCGATCGGTCATCAACACGTTCAAAAATCGTCACAATGGAGCAGGTTTTCAAGTGTGATAATTTAAACAGCAAAAATATAATTCAAAAAACGTTAAAAGACAGATTAGGAATTTGTTAGTAATCTGTCTACGATTGCAAGCAAATCGTGATTTTTTGAAATCAAATAAGCACTCAAGCAAAGAGTCTCAATGGAGCAACCAACAAAATGTGGCGATTTTTGGGAAAACGAGAGAACATGTAAAGAAGACGGCTATCTCTATAGAAAAATTTCGTCGTAAAATCATTTATCGTCCATCCTCGAGAGATTTCTTTCACATTTCTTCGAGAGAGTTCAATTTTAACTGCTAGCAGATATTTTTGTCCTTGTTTCGTGCGTCCACTGATTTCTCCAAGTGGAAATCTCTTTGTCAGCGTTTGCCGTAACGTTTTCGCATTTGAGCGAATTTCACCGGAAAGCACATAAATTGTGTCACAATTTTCATTGAATCGTTTTTCAAAAAAGCAAAAATTTAACGTTCTAGTGAACGTTGCGGCTGATATGGCCAATGATCATTTTTGGATTGATTTCAGAGGTTGGCTCGTAAAATGTTTCAATTGGAGCTACGGTAAAAGTAGAGCAGTTAGAAAGCTCTTTTTTCGAATAGAATCTGAGAATCCCTTCTTTTCACCATTCATCCAAAAAATTCGTTTGATTTATCGTGATTGAGAAGTCTCCGGAGACTTTAGAAGTAAAATCTGAATAAAGTTTCTGAAAAGTTGAAAATCTATCAATAGAAAGATCAAAATCTTTCAGATATTTGATTTTCGGTATAAAATTGAAAAAGGGGATTAAATTTTGGTGATTTTTCGACGAATGGGCATCGAAAATGTAGATTTGCAGGGATTTCGAGAATTTTATTCGTTGGAGGAATGAGGCGAATCGAGGATTTAAATAAATTCTGAGCTCACATGTTTCCCAAAAGCACAAAATTGATTTCGAGACGAATTTTATTGTCTTTTGTTTTTTATCGGCTGTGTGAAGGATTTTTATCATCAACTTTTCTCATACCAAGTTGTGAGCTCGATTCGGTCGATATTTTTCGAAAACGGGCCATTGTACAAGATTCGTTGTCGGGGGATTTTGAAGATTTGGAGAAATTTTAACGAATCTTCGATCGATAAGTGTTCATAGATCGAATTCTGAAGAATTGAGGGTAAAAAGTTGAAATGGAAATTAGGCCGGATGGTTGTTCAAGGGCGGATTTCAGAATCAATAATGTCTCTGTTTTCCAAATTCGATTTCTTTCGAAATTTTATTCCATTCAAAAGATAAGAGCTGGGGAAAATGAACGGAAAAGGGTGAAATGAGGCAGAATTATTCTACAATTTGCCTTTTTTTGATGTTTTTCGAACGATTTAAGAATTTCAATTGTTAGAACCAAGCCAAAGAGGCATTAGTTTTGTAGGAATAACACTGATTTCAAAAGAAATACGTTTTTGCTGTTTTATTATTCAAACATGTGAAACTTGGAGGAGACTGATTGTTAGTCAAAGAATATTAATTATATTCTTTAAATATCAGGACCAAATTTGGCATTTCTTCTCCAATTCTTGTTAAATGTTTGTTATTGATTTGTTGACCGTTTGTTTTTCATTGCATACAGACTCGTTTATTCTTTAAAAACTTAACAATCACCAAATTTAATCACAAGATGAAATAACCTATAAATTATCAGAATGAATAAATTAATCAATAAATCAAATGGCTTTTAGTGTTTTCCAAAAGCGGTGGGCCACCATTTCTTTTGCTCCTTCCAGCAGAGCTCGAGATCGTCGATGGCAGCCGAGTCGTACCTCAAATTTTGAGATCACAATTGTTTTAACACGTTTGGATTTTAACTGAGAGTCTAAGAGTTCACTAACTGAGTTAGTTAGAAGTTAGTAATTTTTATTTCAAAAGCTTATTCATTTTAGGTTGTAGTTCTTGGTACAAGCGTATTGCACAGAAAATAATCGGCTTTGCTTTTCGTTTTAGACAACATTGTTTTGCTTAGATTATTCAGGCTTAGATTTTTTACTTTGTCAATTACTAAAGAAGAGTCAAAACGTCTAATCTATTAGGTTGGCCGATAGGTCCTTGGACACTTTTTTCTACTAGCGTTTACAAATAACAAATTCACCAATTGACCTACAATTGGTTCTAAATACAAATGTTTCTTATTCATTTTTCTATCTATTCAAGATAATTTAGGTTCATTTCCCAGCACATTCGAGTGCAAAAACTAAAAACTATTATCTATCTTTTATTTTATCTACACACGTTTCTGTGGACCAAAGCCCCTAAATTGGGCCTTCGGGTTGTCGCCTTTTTTGACCACCCGACTTCGCGCCCCCATAAAAAAAATCAGAGACAAAAGATTTTCATAAAATTTGAACGCTATTTTGTTGGAAAATAGTGGATTTTTCTAATGGAGCAACCCGAAGTCAATCGATGAATTGGTTATTTCTAAACAGCTTTTCAAATGAAATGCCCAAATACATATCGGCCAACCTAATATTTATCAGGTTACCAACCTCTCAACGAAAGAAGCGATGATTCCCTCAAAAGTCTCTGGATAAGTGACAAGTTCGGCATCTGGAAAAGGAAAAATGAATACTTGGTTTAAAAATTTTAAAAAAAGAAGCCAAATTTTTTAAACATTTAGACCAACTTTTCTCTCCATTGAGCCGGGTGTTTGCTTGGACGAAGAGACGGCGAGGCTTGCGGCGAGTGATGCAGATATTCCTCCAAACGAGCTCTTTCTCGGTCACCTGAAAAGAAATTTGGTTAAACTTTCATAAACTTCATAAACATAAACATAAATCTTAATCTCATGTTACGCTATGTTAAGATCAAGTCTTTTTTTGCAAAATTTTTATCTTCACTCACCTTTCCATATCCCTCAAACAAAGCCGTTCCACCAGCCGCATCACCGGTTGTCTTGTAGTGCTGGAAATGAAGTTGTCAGGTTAAGTATGCACTGAATATTCAATAGATAAAATTCTTAAATTTTACCTGAAGCTTCTTCAAGAATTCCCGAACAGCTGGCTTTCCAACCGAGTCGATCTTGTTCTGATCAAGCTTGAATTTTAGATCAGGTTTTCCATCTTCACCAGTCTATAAATAAAATATTATAGTTGAATAGCCATTCTTATACTTATAATTAAGATTGATCTTTGAAATTTAAAGTTTTCACTCACCACTTCCTCAATGGTCACAAATTCTTGGCCGGCTTCCAGGCACACTTGAGTCAGAACGTAGCGAGCGTAGCAGTGAGCCTGGAATTTGCATTTATACCACTTCAATTGCATATTTTGATACAGTATTCCCTTATTAAACCTCACCTGTCCCCATTTCTGCAAATCCGCATTGTAGAACTCCAAGGCCATCAAACCGGCGCGGATCTCGCTCAGCCAGTTCACGTATTTCACCGTTTGTCCGAGCTCACCCTCATAGCCAAAGATCCTGTAAGAAAGATTTTATCCTGGCTTGCATGCTTTGTTTATTATTGGGTTATACAGGGTGCACCAAAAGTTTTGTCACTCTAGAGTTGGCCAAAGCTCAAAAACTGAATCTTGTTTCAGCTCAATAAAGAATACCATAGAAAATAGTAGAACTTTTAAACTATTTGGTAGCGAGGTTCAATGGCATAGGCCGCTTCTGCAAAAAATCATGAGAGTTAGAAAATTGAGTACCTATTTGAATTTTACTGTACCAAAAATGAATATTAAAAAATACTTTTTGATGCTAGCCCCATAGAAAACTCATACATATAAATTTATTTGCTGTGCAGATTATTTAAAAATAAGGACCATAGATAGACGCAAAAAATTTTTATACTTGAAATTCCGGCAAATCGTCCGCGAACAAACGCCTTATTTATAAATTTGTTACTAGTAAAAGATAGACATCTTCTGGGAACATTCTGTTTCACGCTTTTTATAGGTTTTTATTAAATATTCATAAAACAGAAAAAATCCAAAATTGATTGGTATTTGCCTTAAAATCTATAAACCCAGTAAGTGAGGTGACAGAACTTTTGACGCACCCTGTAATGTTAGTGTCAAACCAACTTGAGAATATCCTCATCACAGCAAAGCACATATCCAACCGCCTCAGCTCGGCATTCTTCATAGGGACCAGAGAGTGCACCGAACTTGCTGCCCCAAGTCTCTCCTTGCTCGTACCAGGTGGTTATCTGAAAATGGAAAGTTTTTACACGGATTACAACTGTTTTTCGTAGCTTTATGTCAATAACACCAACCTTTCCACCATCCAAAATATTCGTCGTATCTTGATCGAAGTTGAAAGTTCCGTCAGCGTTTCGTTGGAAGAGTTTTCCACTTCCATGACCGAGAAGCTCGTGAAGACCGACCTAAAACGATTATTTAAGGAAAACCTAAAAAAAATTCCAAACCTGAACTTCGAACGAGTCCTTGTGATATTTGAACATGAGATCCTCGTCTCTCTCATCCAAGAAGTTCATCTTTTGTTTGGGTGTTGCCGAGATGACATTGCTCAACGAGACGTTCTTGAAGCCCTCGTTTTGACGGATCTCATCATCTAAACAAATACAAGTTGCATCTTAGAATACTGAATTCAAAATTTTATTTATTTTGAACAACTTACAATTAGGGATGTTGATTCCAGCTGGGATGCCACTTCCCGCAAAGCTGATCACATCCAAGGCGGTGAAATCGGGTTTCAGGAATCTAAAAGAAGGTTTAGAGTTGGAAAAAAAATTTACATATCTTGTTTGTCCTGTAAATTCACATAAGTTTACATATCTAAATGTTGCTTTACCTGTCCTTTTCATAAGCTTTTCCCCACGGCATTCGTTCGAGAAGCTCCTCAGCGCGATCGACAAGTACCTAAAAGAGAATGATTGTTAAAATGATGGGTGTGACAATAATAGTATTATAATGCAATCTAAGCCAAGTTCTTATTTTGTGTAATTTCTGTATACCTTAAACTTCTTTGAAGTCTCCTTGTTCACCGCTGCAACGAATCCCTCAAACTCTGACCGAGTCCCGGCTGGATCTCTGTAGTTTTCAATGAATCCGATGTAGCTCTCAACCGCCGGATTTTGATCCTTGATCCAGAAACGGGATCCATCCTGAAAATTTAGTTTTGATGGTTTAAAACTTTTAGTTTACCTTGTGATCATTTAAATCCCCGGTGGTGAAGTGGTTAACGTACTTGTCCAACATTTGCACTTGGTTGTCGTTTGCGGCGAAGTCTTTTGCCTGAAATGAGATAGATTATTGCTGAAAAATGCTAAATCCTGGTTTTCTAAAGGTAAATTGTTAATTTTTAATAATTTTCCACCTTTCGAAGGCTTTCAGCGGCTCTGGCCATCAACGGTGAGTAGTCTCCCCTTTCAACGACAACGATCGCTTCCTCGAATTCCTCCTCACGCCAGCCTTCTAAAAGATGACTTTTAAATTTAATTGTTATTTAAAAGTCAAGAAAATTAGATAATTAAGTCTAGGGAAATATGAAATATCGAGATTTCTCTCAAAACCCACCAGTGATCGAGCTAGCATTCACAATCCGGAACACCGTCTTGCCATTGCGCTTTTCGGTATCCTAAATTTATCGCTTTGGCTTTTTTGTGATTTCAGTAAGTTTCCGTTATTTTCTACGTATTTAATCTGTTTCCCTTTTTCATACCTTGAAAAGCCTCGTGTTCCACGTCTCAATATTGTGCTCCTTGCAGAAACGATCTATGAACTGAGCGTCCTCCTTCGTCACACTTTCACAATGATATGTGGTGATACCCTGAAAAGTATGCTAAAACAGTCAAGCTTTTAAGCAAACCGATTGGCAAAATCCCAATTGCAGCTCCCTTTGCTGAAGGCTGCAAATGAGTTGCTCGATGGCATGATAGGTGGAGAGGAGCTCGGGGTATTTTGAGACTGCATCTGATGCTGTCACCAAGGAGGTGATCTTTTCCTGGAACAAAATTTTGTATAATCTAATTAACACTGCATAAAGTGCTTAAAACAAAGCTTTAAAACAAAACAACCAGGTTGGGCTTTAGTGAAAGTTTCGAACTGTGCTACATTTTCATAAACTCCGGTGTAGTAAGACACAAAAAAGAGGGGAAGCTACCTCCAAATTCCCAGTGCTTTTTTTCCCAACCAACCGTTGAAACTCCAGGCACAATTTTGCTATCTCCAAATCCTTTGTAGTTGCCGCTGTTATTGTAGAAACCGGCGACATAAACGAGAAAAGCCGCGAATTCTTCTTCAGTCCAGCCATTTCCCTGAATTTTATCTATGAATCACAAGATTGAATAACTCGATTATTCTATTTCTATAAATCTAGATTTTAAAAATTCTACCACTTACCAAAGCCTTTTTCTTCAACGATTCAACGGACTCCGTAGCGAAGAGTCGATGGAAGACGACAAAAAGTCCAGCGGCTTCGGGCGAAACCTGAAAAATTACAAATTTTTATGCTTACACCTAATGATTTGCTTTGGTTAAGCAATTTGCTTAGCTCGCTTAATCTTTAAATCAGTCTTTATACTAAACCTGCAAAAAGACGGCAAGCGATCCATCATAAGAAGCTTTGGAGAGGTGATGGGCGTAAAGGCGTTCCTTTTCCGTCAACGCTGGAAATATTTTGGTAAAACTTTATCTGATTGTTAGGCCAAAGTGTTAAAATTTAAGGTACTAATACGATTTTAAATAACTATTAAACTTCAAAGATTTAAACGAACTCTCAAAGGCAGTCTTGCAATCGAGACTGCAAACGGGCGTCTCATTTGGGAGAACGTGAAGCGATCGAAGCTCGGCCGACATCGTTAGCGTTCTCTGGGAAATTTTTAGATAAAACAAGGTTTTTTAGGTTTAAAGTGTTAAAAAGCATTCACGGATTTACCTTAAAGCTAGAGAAAATGGATGAAGTGACCTTAAACAAGTGCCGGGTTTTTAACATCTGACTTAACATTCTGAAAGATGGGAAACCTGGCTAACTGGATAAAAATCAATGTTTTTAAAGAAAAATGATCAGTTGACCGATGGTGACAAATGTTTTTGGAAAGGAAAACATTTGGAAGAGAAAAAGAGAGATAAGGAAGCGTAAGGGATCACAGTAAGCCAGGAAGGGAAAGGGTAGGGCAACAAATAGAATGGAACTTTTTGGAAAGGGATGGAAGATCTAAAAGTCAAAAAAAGGATGGAGGATTTCTGAAGGAAATTGATAAAGTTATGCAGCTAGTAACTAACTCCCTTACCTAATACCTTTAGACTTTTCCAACCCTTTTCTAAAATGATTTTACACGAAACCCAAAACGAAGTAACAAGAAGATCGCAGCTTATTTAGATTTGCGTTTTAGTTAAAAGGCATTGGTTAAGTTAAGTTTCCACGGCATGCGGAAATGGATTCAAAACAATGTAGTGGAAGGAGCCGAGAAGAAAACGAGCAAAAACCATATTAGAATTTGAAACAAAAAACTATGGGCAAACAATGTGAAAAGGAGGAACCGAACGAGGGGAGAAAGTACTTTAAAAACGCAATTAAAAAAAATAAATTAAAAACGCAACAAAAACATAATAGATTTTACGAAGGGGGAAGAAAACTTAGCGGGACACGGCATAAAACTCGGACAAAGTTTCCGATTCCATCATGGAATGCAGAAAATGAAAAGAATGGCAAAAGGGAAATTTTTGTGCGGGGTACAGTAGCGCATCCACGCTTTAGAAAGAAATCAACGTTTTCAAGCCTTTTTTGCGTCAGCGGTTGTTAGACAAAATAAAATAGTCTCAAGAAGCCTAAAAACAAAAGCTTGCACTTCTCGGACAACAAAGATACTTTTAAAAGCATACAACTTTACTCATTCACATCAAAAACATGCTTTTAATGATTTATGGATGGGCATTCTTTAATTTCAGCATAAGACACACAAAAACAAGTAAAATGACATTGAAAACAGCAATCATCAGACTAAATCAGACTACTAAAAAGATTTAAATCAATCACATCGTTGAAATTGGTAATAACATTACTAAAAATCGTGAAGTTAATAAAGCTTTTAAAAAGCCATAATTTCATTGAGGTGGCATGTTGAAGGCGAAAAAATCGGATTCATCGTTCTCATCATCAAATTGAAGTATGTAGACGCAATCTCACGCCGAGTCAATTCTTCGTCGGAAACACCAAATCTCCTTGTCAAAAGGTGCACCTTCCCGCACCTTTCCACAAATTTTTGGCCGGTTCCAACAAAGACTTACGATTTTCTCCATCGACTTGTTTCATTCCTGAGTATCCCATGAGAAAGGAACCCATTTCACCCTTTGACCAATCAGCCCAAGTAAAAATCGGCCTCTGAATTTTTGCTTGGATTTCAACAATCCAATAAACGGTCTCCAAGATTTCGTACGCATCCATCTTTATAACTTTAATTCGAGTCTTTACCAAGGCATTATATCAAGCATGGAAGAGATATTCCGAGAAATTCTTCAGTTTGATTTTTTTCACATTCAAAACAATTGTGCTTTCATATTTCCAAATTGGTCCTTTAGGGATTGATCATTCTACGAATGAATCGTATTCAATAATCCGAGTTGTCTTCTCTTTGACCAATACACGGAAATGTGAAAAGAATTTCTCGACAACGTTTTCTTCGAAGAATTCGACATTCAGTTGATTCACCGTCTTCAATTGTTTCAGGAATGCTTCATGCTTCACTTCGATGATTGACGTATTATGAGGCCAAAGCTTCACTCTGTAACGTGAAGTGATGCGTTCGATCAAAGGAAGGTGGCAATCGAAATCCAAGTAAAATCGTGGTGACTCAGGAAATTTCTTGGTGTGATCATCCAAAACAATTCAACGACATCCTTTGCGTCCATTTGTTCAAGAACCTCCAACTTCAGATCATAACACAATTTCTCCATTAGGAACGTCTTGAGATTCGGCATCGCAAACGAAAGAAACGCATTTTCACTGGATCCACTCTCATCTTGATTCAACTTCTTCATCGAAAAAGGCTGAGTTGATTCCTTAATCGTTTGATTCTCCTCTCCATTTCGTTCCTCATTTCCATTTTTAATTGGCGACGAGTCTGCCATTTGTACCTAAAATATAAAAGATCAGACTTTTCGTGAAACTTCGGTAACAAAACAACTCAAAATGAACTAGCCATTTTCACAAAATTCATCATTAACAACTCCTAATGAGAAAAATCCGATAAACGTTTTCAAGAATTTCACATTTTACCGCTCTTAACTAGCTCAAAGTCTTCAATTCCGCGAATTCACGGCAACATTTTTATCGTTCTCAATATAATTCCAAACGTTATCTCTGACAAAATGCAAGAATAACCAAGGAAACAGCTGAAAGTAACAAAAAACGATCAAATCTATGTGTGCTACAATAATGAGTACTTTATGGATAATGGAATTGCAAAGGATTATCTGGAATGTAATGAGAATGCCCAAGTTTAGCTGAACTAATTGGCAGCACCATCATCCGTAAAGTACCTTGAAAACATAATGAGTAAACACATAACAGAATAGTTAAAAAGTGATCACTTCATTGAGATGACACGTAAAAGTCGTAAAAGCCGAGGGTGGATCGAAGCATGTAAATGACGTTTTTTATTGAATCGGTTCGACGACGAAAACACAAACTCTGGCTCTGTGTCTGTCTCGTTGGAACTGACCCGTTGAAAAACAAGACTCGCGTTGTTGTCAAAGCCTTCTCGCACAATCTTTTGGCCTGTTCAAAAAGTGGCAAACGAACATCTCCATAAAGTTTTTGCATCCACGGGCAATTTATGAGAGAAGCAACAATTTCAGCCGGAATCTCGGAAATGAAGCAATAATCGAAGAAGCCGGCATGTGGATTTTGGCTCGGAATTCCATGTTTGACAATCCATTCAATTGAAAACATCCAATCAACATTAAATTGGCCGATCCGAATGAAATCCGAAAAAATTCGTCGAGAAGATCGTCGGAATCGAAAAAAAAGGCTAGCTATCTCACACTCACTTAATTGAGTCCCGAAGAAATCTCCAAGTAGATCTTTCATCAATTCTTCTCCTTCGAATTTTCAGTCCAAGAGAAACAGTTCGGCCCTTTTTTTGACCGATGCGTTTGCGAAGAATTTATTCCAATCCTCGTTTTTGCCAAGAAACACCAATTCATTCACCGACTTCAGCTGTCTCAAAATCGTTTCATGGCCGGCATTGATAATTTGATTCGATTCGATTTTGTAGTGTAGATTGAGGTTCGTACCTCAAATTTCTCAAATGAATGAATGTGTTTGATCAATTGAAGATGGCCAAAATGGTTAAAATCCAGAGAATCAAAATGAGTTTGAGAATTTCTTGATCCAGCTGTGGAACTCGATGCTATAGAACGCGTGAACGTACTGTCCGAATAGATTTCCCTCACGTGCTTTCCAAAAACGATCGATTGGTTCTTTTGAATAAAACAAGCAGAGTCTCTAGTTAGTCATCGTCAACTTTGGCACATCTTTTGAATCGAGATGTTGTGCGATCTTCTCAATCAATTCCAACGGGAAGTCGCCAATCTTCACCATTCCTTCTTCTTCTCGCTTTCGAGCTTGCGTCTCAACCGGCATTCTCGTACCTGAAAATGGAAAGATATCATTTGGAACATTAAACATCCAAAGTAAATGATTTTTCGGCTAAATTGAACTTTACAGTCCAGAACCAAAATACATTCAATACCAGTTTTTATGCTTTGCTATGCCTAGTCATGCACAAAAAAAAACAAAAATAATGAGGGGAAAAATTTTTAAACCAAAAAAATCCTACTTTTTGTTTTGACCTTTTGGACCGTAAAGTTCAATTTAGCCGAAATGGGTTAAGCTAAGTTTAAACGGCATGCGAAAATGGATTCAAAATAATGTAGTGGAAGAAGCGGAAAAGAAAACGAAAAAAACCATATTAGAATTTGAAACAAGAAACTATGGGCAAAGAATATAAAAAAAGGGAACGAACGAGGGGAGAAAGTACTTTAAAAAAGCGCTACAAAAACATAATAGACTTTACGCAGGGGGAAGAAAAATTAGCGGGAGATGGCATAAAATCCGGACAAAGTTTCCACCATGGAGTGCAGAAAATGAAAAGAATGGCAAAAGGGAAATTTTCGTGCGGGGTACAGTAGCGCATCTACGCTTTAGAAAGAAATCAACGCTTTCAAGCCTTTTTTTGCGCCAGCGGTTGTTAGACAAAATAAAATAGTCTTAAGAAGCCTAAAAACAAAAACTTGCACTTCTCGGACAACAAATGAATGCTCAGCTACTTCAAAGCCTCATGAAGAAATCGTAACATTGTACAAGGCAGAAAACGAGCTAGCAACAACGCAAGCTGCCTCTTGTTTAAATATCCAAATTCGACAATGTATTTATGGTTTCCTGAAAATGGAAAGTTATCAAACATTTACAAAAATTGGTGAACCCCAAATCTCAAAAGAGTCTTGTGAGCTGATGTGGAAAAATAAGAAAGCCAATCATACCGTACTTGAAATGAAAGAAACGGGATATTTCGCGAATACGATCAAATGGGCAGAAACTGTCGCGTGGTTTAGTTCAAATTCTTAGATCCATAATAAATTAATTTCAAACAAGGTTTCGCTGTGCAAATGGAAAAAGAGATAGTCGCAAGTTTTCGAAGATTCCAGAAAACCAACACGTCCAGTTTTGCCGGAAATGCCACGGTGTTTCGGGAAAAGTTCCCAAATCGGGCAAAATGTTTAAAAAGCTGGGTAGATATAGAGCCATAATGGACGAGACAACTATTTGGGTCCCTGATGAAGACTATCTAGATAACTGGACTCCTGAGGGGCTGATCCTGAACTCCTGATCAAACTCTAACTTACATGATCCCAGAAATGAAAAATCTTAAAAGAACGGCTGGACAATTTATAGATGGTCAAGAAGAACTTGGAAGAGGTTTCTCTTGAAATGAAGCAAGATTCAGAGACAACAATAAATAAATCTGAACAGCAAGCCAAAGAATTTTTGGGAGAAATTTTAACACTGAATACCAAGCTTGGTGAGCTGAAAAGACAAATCGATCAGCCAATGAAGCTCAAGAAGAATACCGAAATAGAAAGTTTGAAAGCAGTACTGAAACCAACCGAAATACGACCGAACTCCATTTTTTAAAATTTCATCGATTTTCTTTGATGAAGTTCATTGCATTTCTCTTTACGGTATTGATGGTTTTAGTTACACAAGTATATGTACAATTTATTTGCACAAACGTTGTCGCTATAAAACACTTATTCATCGTGAAAAAAATATAATGGGCAGAAAACCCCTGAAAATCGTGGTGTAAAAGTCTTTTAACACTTGCAAAAATTTTTATTATTTTCGTTCTTTTCATATTTACTGGTACTAATTTTTTTTAGATGCCAGGAGTGTATTTGTATTTTCACAGATATGCTTTGGCAACAAATTCCAAATACAAGAGACTGTATTTATATAATAGATATATGCTTTAGGGGGCGAATAAAAGCGAGTCAAATAATCATTGGCGCACACAACATATTGCAATAATGGAAAAACTCAAAATAGGAAATACAAATTCAAAAAGATCTAAATATAGGGCAGATTTGACAGCTTAATTCATTGAGACGGCATGTAGAAGGCCAAGAATTGCAATCCAAACTTGTGAAACACGTAGATGCAACTCGTCGTTGAGTCGATTCGGCGGCGGAAACACGAACTATTTTTGTCGAACGGAAAGACCAGTCGAACTTCGTTTCTCCTGAGAAGCTCGTTTGCACGAGAAACGAGTGCTGAGTGATTTTCGCCGTCATCGACTCGTTGAAGTCCTTGAACCGGTGAAAGAAAATTGAACCCAGAGAACCGCTTTTGCGTTACAATGTGAACCACAGCTTCAGAATTCTTACTTGGAATTCCTTGATTGACAATCCAGTCGACGATTTGATCAAATTCCCATTGCCAAATCTCGATTGAAATCATTTTGATTTGCGTTTTCATCATGGCCTCATGGTAGACATGGAAGCAATCAGGCAGACCACTCTGCATCGAATGAGCCAGAATAACTTTCTCGCATTCGTTCAATTGATTTTCGATGAATTTGCCGAGTTGCTCTTTCATTGCTTGATCTTCTTCAAATGAGCCGATGTTGATGCCTAGTGTTGCGTTCTTTTTGACCGATCCACAAAAATTGGTGAGGAACTTCAGACAATCTTCCTTCGTGTCAACATCGAACACGAGTTGGTTAACGGATTTCAACTGGCCTAAGAACATTCCATCGGTCCAGTCGGCATCGAAATGGACGTCTAACTCGTCGCATGAATCGATTCGTTTGGCGAAAGGAAGAAGAGTTGCATTCAGTTGAAAGGACGGAGAATTGACGAACTTCTTCATCCAATTCTTTAGTTCGGAGTCTTGTCCCAGGGCAACCACAGCGACGTGCTTTCCGAAAACGATCGATTGATCCATTGCATAGCTCGAGTAGAGCCCCTTGTTCACCATCATCAATCTCAGCACGTCTTTCACATCGAGATGGCGTGCGATCTTCTCAACCAGCTCCAACGGCAAATCACTGATCGTTGCAACCGACATTCTCGTATCTGAAAATAAAAAGACATTATTGGAATTGACATTTGTATGATTTACTGAAGTCACTTTTGTCACCAAAACCACTTTTTGAGGTTAATTTAGCCCAGTAATAATTTTTCATTGTAAGGATCGTATCAAGCAGTCCAATAAACTGTTTTTGATATGAAAAATGACTCCAATAAACCATAAAACCAACGAGAAATGTATAAAAAACTAATTAGAAGCGATCAAACGTAGATAAAGCTAAAATTTCCCCAAAAAACCTTCACAGCTTAAACTTTCCAGATTAAAAACCAAAGATACCCTTTAAAGCATACAAATATTTAGATTTGCGTTTTAGTTAAAAGGAGGTAGTTAAGTTGAGTTTATAAGACATGTGGGAACGGATTCAAAACAATGGGGTGGAAGGAGCCGAAAAGAAAACGAAATAAAACTGTATTAGAATTCTAAACAACAAACGATGGGCAAGCAATATAAAAAGGAGGGAACGAACGTGGGGAGAGTGAGAGAGTATTTTAAAAAATGCGCTACAAAAACATAATAGATTTTACGAAAGGGGAAGAAAAATTAGCGGGACACGGCATAAAACCCGAATAAAGTTTCCGATTTCATCATGGAATGCAGAAAAATGAAAAGAATGGCAAAAGGGAAATTTTTGTGCGGGGTACGGTAGCGCATCTACGCTTTAAAAAGCGTAGAAAGCTTTCGCGCCAGTCCCTTAAAATTGCACATCAATAGGAATCTAACTAAAAAGTACAGACTAATCATTTGTAAGTAAGTACAGGCTTTTGGAAATGCTTGTAATTTGTTTAGATCTTCGGATTTTGACTACAAGTTACCGCCTGTAGCCAAAGAGGTTGTCAAGAATCTGCACGGAGATGTTTTGGTAAGATTCACTATACTCAGAAGTAGAGATGGAAAGTTTAGGGATCAGAGCTAGAACTGGAGTTTCACCCAATGATAGATGAAAACCAAAGGGACCTACTTCTGCCAATCGGATTCGACTGAGGAAGAGAGTTGGTTCCAATTTGGGGCAGAGAAGACGAGTTTTTGATTATGCCTGATCCAGTTTCTTGGTTAACACCCGATTCATTTCGTGAAAAAAAGACTTTTCAAACGAGTTTGACAAGCTCGTCCGATCGAGGACCCGTCACAAGGAGCCACACGGCGAGCAGTTGCTAGTAGAATAAGTAGGTAAGAGTCCTGCGCAAAGAAGGAAATTGTTTATTGAGAAATGTTCACAAATGAGAGACTTTGAAATAACAAAATATTCAAGCCATGTTTTGATATCTTATCTTTGATTGATCAGTTCAGTTGATTTCTCGCTTGTCGTCAGTCGGCGCGTTTTTTGGTGGCTGAAAACAAATTTTTGTCTCTTACTTAATCCTTTTTTTCGAGTAATCAATAATTAGTAAACCAAAAGCAAAAAAATTCTGGAACTCATTAACCTCTTCAGTCGCCGCATTTCTCCAATCAGAATACGAGTTGATTAGATTGATTTCGTTCGCGAGTTTTCTCTCGATTTGCTCTGTTTTTCCTGGTGATGCCATTTCGAGATGTTCGCGCATCTTTTGAACGCAATCCTAAAAAAAGCTCGTAAATGTAGCTAAAATTGTTGATGGTGGGTTTAGATTCTTTCAAGAACAAAAATACCCACAAATGTATAGACATCTACACGTTTATTGTTAAAATCCTAGTAAAAAGCCCTTTCCCCAAAAAGGGTACTTTGCTCAAAAAGCTATCAAGTACACCTTAAAACTAGAAAAACATCTAATTGTAATATGCAAGCAATTTATTTAAAGAAACCTAAGATTCTTTTACCTTGAACAATGGCCTCTCTTTGGTCTTTGCAGCCCAACATTTCAACATGAAGTCATATCTAAAAATGGAGTTTTTTTTTGATACTCTGAATAACAAACAAATCTTTGTGTGCAAACTCGGGCTGTTTATTTCGTTCTCCATTTCGAACTCTCAAGTAAATGTCCTTGATTGGAATTCCCGGATATGGACGGCCACCAAGGGTGAATATCTCGTACAACAGGATTCCGTATGACCAAACATCAGACTGTAAAATTCTTATTTTTCTTATTCAACTATGTATTCAAAAAGCTCTAAAAAATAATCGCTTACTGCTTGTGTATAATAACCGCTTTCGATCGATTCCGGACTCATCCACGGTAGCGGTAAAAGTTCCTTTTTATGCTTCTCGAAGTCTTTTCTACAAAATTCATCTTTTTAATCGATAATTTCACCCAAACCTGTAATATGATTTGCTGTCACTTCTTGCCAATCCAAAATCAGCGACGCGACAAATATTTTTCTCAGTAATCAACACATTTCTCGTGGCCAAATCCCGATGAATGCACTAAAAGATTTCAGGTTAGTACTTTTCAAGCACAAAACTTACTGGAATTTCGCTCAAATACTCCATTCCGCTAGCAATTTGCAATGCAAACGATAAAAGATCGGATGTCGAACAAAGAGTATCTGTTGTCTAAAAAACAAAAATATACATGTTTAATTTAGGTTTTCTTCAAAGAATTTTCAAAACCTGAACAAGTGGAGTCTTTTTATGCTGATCTTGTAACAGATTATCTTCTTGACTTTCAACTTGAGGCCACTAAATACTTTAGAATTTAAGCTGAAAAAACAAGATCCTACCGGAATATAACTATCAGCAACTGCACCATTAGCCAGCTCTCTGGTTATCGCTTCTTCTCTGTTCTCTTCCATCAATTCAACCTAAATAAATAGCTTTCAGAAGAAAATGCCAAACAAACAGTGTGTCCTTTACAATTCAATGTGCGATCGGGATGAATGTATTCACTAACTCGGGCCTAAAATTTAAGTTTTAACATTACAAAAAATGCTTACCATTTTCAATTCATTGCAAAAAGTACTGCGTGTCAGCTTTTTGAGGAATTTCTCGAGACTTCCATTGGCGCAGAGCTCCGTCACAACACACAGGCGACCACTGAAATTTAAAATGAATTTTCCATGATGGCTTTAGAATATGGATTGACCTAATGAATTTTTATTGATGGTAACATAGAGTGGGAAATACTGACACTAAGGATATGGCTGATTTAATACCTAGTTAAATGATCAGTGACAGCTCCAATCAGAGTCAAAACATTTGGATGTGGTGGAATGAATGACATCAACTTCAGCTCGTCGGCCAACATTTGAATGTTGATAATGTGTTGCCGGATAGCAGCCGCATGAAATGGTTCCTACATGAAAAGATAGGATAAATGAATATGAATATGATTTAGTTTTAGTTTTAGTAATGAATATACCTTGACAGCAACCTTTAAAGTCGGTCTTTTCGAGATAGAATTGTCGATTTGAATCGGTTTCTTCAAAAATCCCATCGAAACTTTACCAAATTGTCCACTACCCAGCTGTAAACGTCTGAAAATTGAAGCAAAACGCAATTTCCTACCGTTTTTTTCTCAGAAATCTCGAGATCATCGCACAAAATTTCGAATTTCGACCGGTCGTAGAGGATTTGATTTAATTGCTGATCGATGGGAATTTGTTTATTTCGATCTTGGGAACAAATAGTTCCTCCATTTATCAAATCATCATACAGCACTCGAAAAGCACTAAACAGAAGGAATTTGAAAAAAAACAGTCGACTCTCCCTCTATAACGGAAATTCGGAACTTTTGTTTATTGGGTTGGTGAATTGAAAACTGCCGGACTTTGAACTAAAATTTATTCAACATAAAACCATGAATTCATTCGAAATAATTTCCATTATTATTGACGATTTCTACCCATTTTACAGGCAATTTGCGGATTCCTCTTTCGTAGTAGGATTTTGGTTTTGAATCGAAAAACTTTCAAAGCCAATTTTTGACTGCTTCTTCCAAATCGAAGTGTTCTCCCGCAAGCTCATTACTCATGATCGGGAATAAATAGTAATCAAAAGGGGCGAGGTCCGGACTGTATGCGGGATCCGCCAAAAGTTCCCAACCAAGGCTGTTTATTTTAGAGCGAATCAGTTTTGCAACATCAGGGCGCGCATTGTTGTCAAGGAGAACGATCTTTGACTTGGAGGGCCTATTCTTCTTTAGGGATTCATTCACCTTTTCCAACTGTTCACTATATTTGATTGCATTAAGGGTCGTCTTGCTATCCAGCAACTCCCAGTACACCACTCCCTCCATATCCCAGAAAACGCAGAGCATAAACTTCTTCTGGTGCAAATCGGGCTTGGGGTCACTTTCGGGTTTCTCACCTGGCCCCACCCATTGCCGCTTCCTCCGAAATTTCACAGATAAAACCCATTTCTCATCTCCTGTCACAGAAAGGATTTCCTTTCGTATCGTGAGAGATGAGCGGCACTGATGGAGGCGTGCTGCCACTTCTGGGGGGCAGTGAGGTCATGGGGCACCCAAGTCCCAAGTTTCGATTTAAATCCAAGGATATGAAGGTGTTTTAGCACTGTAACATGATCAACCCCTAACTCTTCTCCCAATTCACGCGATGATACCCGATGGTCGTTGGTAATGAGTTCGAGTAATTTGGAATCATCCAGTTGGAGTGCCACTCCACGGCTCACTGCATCTCTCAAAGATTTGTCCCCAGATCGAAACTTGGCAAACCATACTCGACACGTTCTTTCGGAAAGTGAGTCCTCCCCATATACCTTTTTAATATTAGCAGCTGCCAAGCCTGCACTGTGCTCTTGCAGGAACTCATGAAGCATGACATGACGAATATGTCCCGGTGGCAGATTGTCGAGTGCAATAGAAGGAATGAAGAAAAATACCAAAAAATAAAAAGCTGGAAGCATAATTTTTTTGCAATAATTTGAGGAAATGTTGAAGTAATCAAACACCCTTTCAGCTGGTTCAATGCTGTTGTTTTTTTTATCTGCGAGTCCCGCGAAATAGCCGGCAGTTTTCAATTCACCAATCCAATACATAGTATTGCATACTTTTCTTGGTTTTGGGCCCGTGCTTTTTGTCTTCTCCACAAAATGACGAAGTTTAGCAAACAAACAAGTAAAATGAGGAAGATGATGAAGAGAACAATGAATGACATGATTAGTCGTCTTCTTTTATCGTCTTCTACCTAAAAAGTCGGATTTGAACAATATTATAGACAAAACGATCTGCTTTCTTATTTTGCATTTCTCTATCTTTCGCCATTTTTAGTTTCAGGAGGGTACTGTAATTTGTTTGATTTTTGAGAAATATTGGAGTATTGATTCTTAAAAACGGGTGCCTAAAACAAAATATAGGCCTGGAGATTTCAAGCTTTCCGATAAATGGATGCTTAAGCTGACATGCTAAACACGAATATTTCTTCAAGCTCGTTTTTGAAAAGTTTTCTCATTGTAATCCTAAAAGCAAGTACAAATTGATCTACTATTTCTTTACCTCAAGAGAGATGACTCGTCTCACTTCTCCTGCTCGATTCTTCCCAACACATTCGTAGACTCCACTATCGTCGGTGTTGACTCTATTAAGAGTAAGTGATGTATTTCTATCACTCATTGGAACCCCATCTTTTGACCTAAATACATTCAGCGTTTTTCTTGAGAATAACAGACCATGAAATGAGTGGAGTCGGGTCACCGCTCGTTGTGCATTCTAAAAATTGGCTTTCTCCGGCTTTCAGATGAATTTCCTCTGTTTCATTGGCGAGCAATATTGGTGCTATCATTTCAGTAATCTACAATTTGAAATCCATTTCTTGTGAAAAGAATTTCCAAACCTCAAGTCCGATTGTTTGATTAAACTCCTGTTGAGTTTCAGTGTTTCTTGCCACGCAAATGTAGTCACCAGAGTCGTTTATCGTGGCATTCTATTTTAGTGAATCAAAGACTGATAAAAACTTTATATTTTCACATTTTAAAAACTCAAAAAAAGAGATTTGCAAAAAGATAGCTTTTACTGTTTGTTTTAACCTTCTTTCGCGTCTTCAGTCATTTTTCTTGACTCAATACATCAGCCTCTTAGTGTTCCAACTTTCAGCTTCTTTAGTTTTCCAATTTTTAAGTTCTAATTATAAACAAACAAACCTTAAGTTTCATTTGTAACACCAACGAGTCACCATCAATGATTTGTATAATATCACTCGCAGCCTGCACAGTTTCGTTGTACACCCAAGACATTGTTCTGAAAAAAAAATCAAAGAAATTTTTGCTAACCAACATGTCAGCCTCCACTTTGTGAATTCGGCAAAATAAAGTGACATCATCGCCACGATATATTTTGTTCTAAAAGACGGCTTTGTAAACGAATGAACCTTGGGTTTGGTTTAGTTCGAATTGAATCGAATCGTTTTGAGACCCATTTCAAAATCCTCGGGCTTTTGGTCTGGACAAATCAGATTCAATCCAAAAAACTTGGTTTAAACCGATTTCACTCGATTTGAAATAGTGTCAAAATTAACGTCTAACTTTGAGAAAAAGCCGAACCGAAGAACATGTTTAGTTTGTAAATGATCTCAAAAATTTTCAACTGGATCCTCGCCGATAATTTCATAGTCTTTTTTCGTCCAAATCGCTGCACGTTGATCGGCGGCCCGGAGATGAAATGAGCCTTGGTGGCGCGAGAGTTCGTTCTAAATTCGAAATTCGAAAAATTTGCTTTTCTACAACGAAACCCATTGGCAAACAACTATGAGATCTTCGTTCACGGTGGTGTTCCAAAAAACGTCAAAAGCTTCGGTCACACTTGCCGCCAAGAACATTTTGTTTGACCTCAAGTATTGTGGTGTTTTAAATTTTTCTACTAGTTACCGCTGATAAAATAAGTGCATTTGCGATTTGTACGTATGTTTCCATGCATGGCAAGCAATTCGAATTTTTGCGCCAACCTAAAAGTTTTACACATGAAAATATCAAAACAGTACTAATTTTTCGTTCATCTGGCTGTAATTTAGAAAGAAACTAACCTCAACGAGTTCAATAAGTTTTTTTCCAAAAAACCTACCAAGTGATACGTTTTATCAAATTGAACAAAATGAGCGGAGGATTGAACGTTGAAAGTGATCTCTTTCACTGGAGTGTCGACTTTGATTTTCCATTTGTTAGTTCGATAACGTTCTTCTTTCACACGGAATACGACTAAGTAACTGCAAAATTCTGCATGAAAAATGGTTGATTGTTTTGAACTTACTTTCCACTATGAGCCAGTTGGTCACTTGGAATAAAGAGTTCTTCGGTGAAGCTTTTCACGATCCCATTTTCATCCACCTAGAATAAACTGAGAACGTCCAATTGACCTTGAGCGACGCCTGATCCAAAATCTGTGGCTAGCCATCTTCGAGAGCTCATTTCATTATATCTTTTAATAAGCACCATTGAAAAGCTTTCAACTATGCAAAGTACTCAAGAAAATGTAGTAAGCCTTCGAAGATGAATTCCCGTGAGTTTTATAACAGACTTTAAGGGCCGTGTCTCGTGAAACG